ACGGTGCGAGGCGGAAATGCATCCAGATCCACCGCCAGGAGAATCCGACGTCTGGGACCTGAGCGGGCGGTGGCTATGGATACATGTTGGCCCCAGGAGCCACGAACACATGTATTATATATAGGTGTGTGTAAATCACACAATGCACACACACACACACAAAACTGCATTGGTGCCGCTTGGGGCACTCCCAGGGTGTCCTCTACTACAGCTCTTGTGAGGGCCTGTGGGAGTTGCAGGAGAACCCCGGAAGGCCTCCGGAGGCCCCACAGATCTCCAGAGTCTGGAGGCTCCGGAAAAGCAAAGCACGCCCCAGAACGTACAATCGTCCGATCACGTCCACAGATCGACCACCACAACCACGACCACTACGACGACCACCACGACGATCATCGCGACGGCGGCGGTGGCTGCGTTGGCGCCCGCGGGGGCGGCGGCGGCGGCGACGGCCTGGCGGCCTGGCGGCCTGGAGCCTCTGGGGCCCTCCTCGGCCACCGTGCCAGTCACGGCATTTGCGCAGTCTGGGACATTCGGAGCCTTCCGACGCGTCGCACGTCGCTCCTCGCACGGCTCCGCGACCGCCCACCGAACCCTAAGGTACCCCCCAGAAGGCCCAGCACCTCCACGCGCCAAGGGCGGCCCTTGCCTGGGGAACCCCTCCTCGGGTACCTTGGGTTTCGTAGATCAGCGCAAGGTCTATTGACAATGACTGCGCTGTCGTCTAGACCCGACGCGATGATCGTCGTGGTGGTCTTCGTAGTGGTCGTGGTGGTGGTGGTCGTCGTCTGTGGACGTGATCACGTTCTGGGGCGTGTTTCGCTTTTCCGGAGACTCTGGACTCTGGAGATCTGTGGGGCCTCCAGAGCCTCCGGAGGCCTTCCAGGGCTCTCCTGAAGGCCCCCCAAAAAGCTGTAGAGGGCACCCTGGGAGTGCCCAAAGGGGCGCCAAGGGAGCTCCCAGAGCGCCCTCGAGCCCCAAAAATTTAACACAAATTGAACACAACGCCGTCCTTGACGAGGAAGCAATTTGTGTTAAATTTGTGTTGAATTGGGGGCCCTCTTGGGGCCGTCTGGGAGGGGGTGTCTTGGGCGCGTCTAGGGCCGTCTCGGGGTTCTCTTGGGCCGTCTTGGGGCCCCCGTAGGGGCCTCTTGGGCCGTCTCGGGGCGATCTTGGGGGCCTCTTGAAACGTTGTGGAGCGCCGGAAGCTCGAAAAGTCGATACCTTCGAAAACACATAAAAACCATGGGAAATCAATGGTCGTTGCCTCTTGGGGCCCTCGAGGGAGCGCTCGTCGAGTCCTCCAGGGTCGTCTGGGGGCATCTCAGACGGAAGACTCGAAGTATCGCTTCGGGCTCCTGCGCTAGGGCCCCTGTTGGGACCGTCTTGGGGCTTCTTGGGCGCCTCTAGGGCCGCTCGGAGCTCCTCCTCCTCCTCCTCCTCCTCCTCCTCCTCCTCCTCCTCCTCCTCCTCCCTCCTCCTCCTCCTCCCTCCTCCTCCTCACTCCTCCCTCCTCCTCCTCCTCCTCCTCCTCCTCCTCCTCCTCCTCCTCCGCCTCCGCCTCCGCCTCCGCATCCGCCTCCTCCTCCTCCTCCTCCTCCTCCTCCTCCTCCCCTTGGGCCGTCTTTGGGCGCTCTTGGGGGCCTGCTCGGTCCGCCTCGGGACGGTCTTGGGGGCCTCCTGGGCCGTCGCGTGCCCCTCTCGGGGCCGTCTAGGCCCCCAAGAGCGCCCAAAGACGGCCCAAGGGGAGAATGAGGAGGAGGAGGAGAAGGAGGAGGAGGAGGAGGAGCAGCAGCAGGAGGAGCAGGAGGAGGAGGAGCAGGAGGAGGAGCAGGAGGAGGAGGAGCAGGAGGATAAGAAGGAGGAGGAGCAGGAGGAGAAGGAGCAGGAGGAGGGAGCAGGAGGAGGAGCAGGAGGAGCACGAGGAGGAGCAGGAGGAGCACGAGGAGGAGGAGGAGGAGGAGGAGGAGGAGGAGGAGGAGGAGGAGGAGGAGGAGGAGCAGGAGGAGGAGCAGGAGTAGGAGGAGCAGGAGGTGGATGAGGAGGAGGAGATGCAGCAATTGAGAGAACGAGGAGTATCATGGGGTGGTCCCTTGGGGCGTCTTGGGGCGGTCTTGGAGGTCTCGTGGGATGTCCTGGAGCGTCGGGAGCTCGAAAGTCGAGGATCCCAGAAACATAGAACAGCTCTTTTGGTGCTATGGAGGGAAGCCTCCTCGCGTCCAGCGGAGCTTAAAGCTCAAGTTAAAGTAGGGGTAAACAATGGAACGAAGTTTCCTCGCGCCCAGCGGAACTTCAAACTCAAGTTAATGTGAAGGCGATGCCCAGGTGTCCGTGGGTCTGCAGAAAATTGGTATCCTTTCTCTGTGGCCCAGGCGGCGCCAGAGCACCGCTTCCCGCGGAGCGTGGAAGCCATGTAGAACGGCTACCTCATAGTTGATGGACACCAGCGGGCGTGTGCAACTAATCGCGAGCACACAGCCTCGGAGGCAAAAGCGGAGAAGAGAAGAGGAGAAGCAAGAGAAAAAGCATTGACACACCTATGGGAAATCAATGGTTTGTGCCTCTTGGGGCCCTCTGGGGAGCGCTCGTCGAATCCTCTTGGGCCGTCTTGAAGCTATCTGGGGTTGCCCGGAAGCCCCGAGGGACATCTCGAAGCCTTCTGGTGTCACTGTGACGCAACTTAAGGCCGTCTGGGCGGCTCTCGGGCCGCTGGAGAGGGTGCCCGGGGAACACGGAGCCCCCATGGCGACCCGAGGCAGCTGGGAGAAGGCCCCCTGTTCTGTATATACATACATATCGCAGACGCCTACGGCAAATCACCGCCGCCCCCTGCCTTTGTGGGAGCGCCCATGTAGCCGACAGCTGGGCTAGAGCTTGGCCAAGCTATCGGACCATGTGTTTCCCGAGCCGATTTGGAAAGCCTTCGGGGAACACGTGGGGGAGGAAGAGGAAGAGGAGGAGGAGGAAAAATGAGAAGGGGGAGGATGTCTCTTCGGAGCCTCTTGAGGCACTCTTGGGCTCGATTGGGGCATCTTGGGATCGTCTAGGATGCCGTGTTGGGGCTATCTTGGGCTCTCTTGGGGCCTCTTGTGGGCCTCTTGGGCCCCTTTGGGGCTTCTCGGGGGCCTCTTTGGCCGTCTTATGGCGTTCCTGGCTTTTCTGACGCCGTCGGGAGCCGTCTTGGGGGCTTCTCTGAACCAACTTGGGGTCCTCTAGGGGCGCTTCAGGGCCGTCTTGGAGGCCATCTTGGGCGTGTAGGAGGCCTCTTGGGCCGTCTTGGGGCCCTCTTGGGGCCGTCTTGGAGGCCTCTTGGACCGTCATTGAGCTCCTGGAGCCCTCTTGGGCGATCTTGGGGCGATCTTGGGGGCCTCTTGGGCCGTCTTGAGCCGTCGGAATGCCGAGGAGAAGCGAATGCCAAAATCCTTTAAAGACCTAAGGAAAATCAAGGATTTTGGCCTTTTCAGGCCCTCCTGGAGGACCTCTTGGTGGACCTCTTGGGCCGTCTTGGAGGCCTCTGGGGGGGCCTCTTGGGCCGTCTTGGGCCGTCTTGGACTCTCTTGGGCCAACTTGGAGGCCGTCTTGGACCATCTTGGGCGAACTTAGAGGCCATCTTGGACCATATTGGAGGCCATCTTGGGCCAACGTGGCCATCTTGGCGCCATCTTGAGCCATCTTGGAGGATTTTTCTCCAGATTGAGCACCTCCCCAGGACCCCGGCGGGACGCGCTGGAGGCCCAGGGGGAGTTCTTTTGGAGAAGAACCAAAACCAAAACCGAGAGGATCTACAGTCGGACCGCTGAAAGAAGGAACGCTAAATAAGGAACGCAGCCCCTTCTTGGCCCTGCAAGCGCCTCCGTGCCCAAGGAGGGCAAGAGGAGCAGCGCTGGAGGAACCTAAGTAACATCGAGCCCCTTCCGAACCCAAGCTGTTCCTTATTTCAGCGTCTTGACTGTAGCACGCCAGGCACCCCTGCGATGAATCAACGGGGAGCGGCGGATCGAAGACGCCTACGGCGAATCACCGCCGCCCCCTGCCTTTTTGGAAGCGCCTATGTGGCCGAAGGTTGTGGCCAGGGGCCTGCCAAACTATCGGACCATGTGTTCCCCGAATCGGTTTGGAAAGCCTTCGGGGAACACGTGGGCATCTTGAAGGTCATCTTGGCCGTCTGGAGGCCATTCTGACCCTTTCGGGCCTTCTTGGAGGACGTCTTGCAGGGCTCTTGGGCCGTCTTGGAGGCTATCTTGAGCGTCTTGGAGACCTCTTGGGCCGTTTTGGGGGCCTCTTGGGGCCGTGTCTTGGGCCTCTTGGGCGATCTTTGTGGGCACTTGGGCCGTCTCGGGCCGTCGGAAGGCAGAAACAAGCAAATGCCACAATCCGTCAAAAACCCATGGCAAATCAATGAGTCTGGCCTTTTCGGGCCTTCCTGGAGGCCCTCTTGGAGGCCTCTTGGGCCGTCTTGGGCCATCTTAGGGCCATGTTCGGCCGTCTTGGTGGGCTCCTGGTCCGTCTGACGCCGTCGGAAGTCGTTTGGGGGGCCTCTACGGGCCGACTTGGGGCCCTCTTGGAATGCTCCAGGGCCGTCTTGGAAGCCATCTTGGGCGTCTTAAAGGCCTCCTGTGCCGTCTTGGGGGCCTCTTGGGGCCGTCTTGGGGCCCTCTTGGGCAGTTCTGGGACCATCTTGGAGGCCTCTTTGGCGATCTTTCGGTGATATTCGGGGGCTCTTGGGCCGTCTCGGGCCGTCGGAACGCCGAAGAGAAGCAAATGTCAAAATCCGTCAAATACCCTAGGAAAATCAATGTTTTTGGCCTCTTCTGGCCTTCCTGGGGGCCTCTTGGGCCGTCTTGGGCCAGCTTTGAGCCAACTTCGGCCATCTTGGTGGGTTCCTGGCCACTCTAACGCCGTCGGGAGCCGTCTTGGGGGCCTTTCTGGTCCGACTTGGGGCCCTCTTGGGGCGCTTCGGGGCCGTCTTGGAGACCATCTTGGGCGTCTTGGAGGCCTCGTGG